GTATTAAAGATACTTACTTATATGGGCCCACTCGATTTCTATTAAACTTAGCTACTTCATCGTACCATTGATTTTTAATCATTTCTGACAAATTATCGGACAGTTTGCCCGTAGTGGAAGATTTGGCTATGTTCTGATTAACATGAAATCTATCTGTAATGATATGCATTATTTACTAACAAATAGGTTAATAAATTTTATATTTAATTTACAATTATAAACGTAATTATATAAATCTACTTACCCACATTTCTGCATTTGTCATGACCGTAATTACATTGATTGGCCCATCTTTGTGCAATCGTCGCTATTTCGTCATCCCAAGTCTAACAAAATATGTGTACGTATGTAATCTTATATGCATATAATTTTATGTTTATAATTTCATATATATCTGTATACTGTCATAAAAGTTTGTAACAAAATTCCATAATTTACAATTTTATATATTATAAATTATAGTGCACATATTCTAGTTTCTCTTGTGTATGTTATATATTTTGTATAAATATTATTATTATTCTATCAAATACATTCTTTTTGTTTTACACAATATTAAATTGTAAATAATATTCTGAAATTTTTGGTTAGTTATAAATAAATATCCGTCAGAAGAAATCTATAGTATCTTTATACACTTACTTTACCAGACATGCACCATATATTGTCATTTGAACATTTTACAGAACATTTTAAAATCAATTGAATTAATGTTGCTTAGTTAAATTGCTTAGTATTAATTATTGTTATACTAATTTTTAGTTAATATGAAATATATTATAATCTTAAAAAACTACTGAATTTTTCAAAATTTTCGTAGTTAAATCATAATTTTATATTTCTTTAAAAAATTTAAACTAAAATTTAATTGTTTAAAATCAATTTGAATATAAATATTTATCAAACGTTTTTTCGATTATTATATATTTTAAATTATTATTAATAATGTATTACAATATTATATCTTATTAAGTCTGGCATGCTAACTGCCGCAGGTTGTGGACCTGGAGCTCCTCTGGTTTCCTGGCCTGATGCGACTTTTCGTCTCAATCGGTTGTGCGTGCTTACTATTTCATCTTTCTCAGCCTTACTAAAGCCAACAATAGGTGCTGATCCACAAGCTGCCGCTGGATTTGGTGACTACAGTATTTTTAGAATTAGCTAAGTACATAATGTATAGATTACGTTTTATTAAGTACCTTAATAACATTTGAAAAAAAATAAAAATAAAAGTTTTTGTTTAGAGAAAATAAAAGAATTTTTTATACATTACCTATATACATATTTTTCGTAAGTTAAGAAAAAAAGAGAAGAAAATAACTTTTTCTATACATATGTTAGATATATATGTATGTATATGCATATATATATATATATATATAATATATATATATATATATATATATATAATA